TTAGAGAAAAATTTTGTAGAAAGCTTGTTGTGATTTAGGAGCTAACATTAATCTAATGTCATTATCTATTTTTATAAGTATAGGTTTAAGAGAGATTTCTCCACTACTGTAACCCTACAGTTAGCTGATCGATCTATCACCTATCCGAAAGGGGATGGTTAAAGTGGATACATGTATCTTCCTTGTTGATTTCATTATGTTAGATATGGAAGAAGTTAAATAAATTCTTATCATTATGGGGAGACCTTTCATTGCCACCGGACGAGTGATCATAGATGTGCAAAAAAGAGAACTACCCTTGAGAGTTAAAGAACAAGAAGTTACATTTAATGCGCTTAAATCAATGAAGTATCATGATAAAAGAAAAGATGGTAAATGCTATAGAATGGATATTATTGATTATATGATTATTAATCATTTCCAAGAAAGATGTGAAGCCATAATAGATCAAAAAGAACTGAAGAGTGAAAATGCAATTGATTTTGAAGATAAATAAATGAGATAATTACTGAGGATTCAAATTATGTTCAGAAAAACTTTAAAATTTTAGATATTACTGAAAATAGTAAACCTCTTTTTTCCTTAATAGAAAAACCTCCTAAACTTGAAATGAAGATGCTCCCTGCTCATTTAAAATATGCATTTTTTGGGAATTCATCTACATTAACAGTTATAATATTTAAGACTTGACTATAAAACAGAAAGAAAAATTACTAGAGACATTGAAAAATCATAAGAAAGACTATGTATGGAGATTAACTGATATTGAAGGAATTAATCCTTCAATCTGTATGCATAGAATTTTGATGGAAGACAATCATAAGACTAAGGCTGTCCTCAAAGGAGATTGAACCCTATAATGAAAAAAGTTGTTAAAAAAAAATTTTAAAGTGGTTGGATTCTAGAAGTATTTATCTAATTTCTAACAATTCTTGGTTTATTCCTATTCATTATGTTCTCAAAAAAAGAGGAGTGACTGTAATTATTAATGAAAGGATAGAGTTAATTCCTACAAGACAAGTCACTGTGTGGCAAATCTATATTGTTTATAGAAAATTAAACCTCGTTACTAGGAAAGATCATTTTTCTCTACATTTCTATACCAAATGTTGGATAGACTCCCAAGGCATCGTTATTTCTGCTTTTTGAATGGATATTCCATATACCACCAAATACCCATAGATCCTGAAGATCAAGAGAAAACAACATTTATTAGTCCATATAAGACTTTTTCTTATAGAAGAATGTCATTTGGATTATGCAATGCATTTGTAAATTTTCAAAGATGTATGATGTTAAATTTCTGTGATTTAATTGAGAAAGAAATTGAAGTTTTTTATGTACGATTTCTTAGTTTTTGGAACATCTTTCAATTGATGTTTAGATCACTTAACAAGAGTTCTAAAATGCTGCAAAGAAACAAATCTTGTTCTCAATTGGAAAAAATATCAATTTATGGTTATAGGAGGAATCATATTACGACATAAGATTTCTGAAAAATGTCATGGAAGTAGAACCAACAAAAATTCAAGTTATTGTTGAATTTCCACCTCCTACAGCTGTAATATTATTGTAATATTATTGTTTCACCTAAAAAGCGTTTTATTAAAAATTTTCCAAAAATTGCTAAGCTGGTGGGGTAAGAAGTTTTTTGGGACATGATGGGTTCTATAAGCGTTATATTAAAAATTTTCCAAAAATTGCTAAGCTGCTATGCCATCTTCTAGAAAAAGACATAAAATTTGATTTAAATGAGGAATGCCTAAATGCCTTTAATTTATTAAATAAAATTAATCACTGCACCTATTATTGTTTCACCTAGTTGGGAAAAGCCCTTTGAATTAATTTGTGATGTTAGTGATATGCTATAGGGGCTGCATTAAGGCAGAGATACGATAAAATTTTTAATGTGATATATTGTGCTAGTAAAATCCTTAATGAAGCTCAGATTAATTTCACCACTACTAAAAAGGAATTTTTAGCTATAGTGTATGTTTTTGATAAATTTAGACCTTATCTTATTAGAGCCAAATGTATTGTGCATACTGATCATTCTGCTATTAAATATTTAATGATGAAGCATGCAAAACCATGATTAATTAGATGGGTTCTTCTAATGCAAGAATTTGATTTTCAGGTAGTGGATTGGAAGGGCACTGATAATCAAATAGCTAACCATTTGTCAAGGCTTGAACTAAAAAATAATGTTAACTTTAATGATGAAATAAATGAACTTTTCCTGATGAACTATATGTGATTAATGAATGGCGAATTTCATGGTATTCTGATATAGTTAACTACATAGTAACATTTTACATTTTACTCTACGAATTGGATAGCCATCGAACAAAAAAGTTCATTCATGATTCAAAATTATACTTTTGGGTTTATACAAGCAAAGTAAGGACTTAGTTATTCAAAGATGTGTACCAATAGAAGAAACCTAAAAAACTATGCAAAAATGTCATAAATCAAGTTTTGACGAACATTTTAGGGTTGATAAAAATTTTAGGGTTGATAAAACTAAAAACTACATTTAAAATTTTACAATCTGGATTTTATTGGCCTACTTTATTTAGGGACGTTAATAATTATATAAAAAATTGTTATCGATGTTAGAGAGTAGGCAGTATTTATGCCCCTAAATTTTACTTTGGAATTTGAAATATTTGATATTTGAGGTTTAGATTCCATGGGACCATTTACACCATAGTCTTGAAAAATATATATTTTGCTAACTGTGGATTATATTTCTAATAAATAGAAGCTACTGCTTTACCCCGTTGTGATGCTAAGAGTATTGCAAAATTTTTAAGGAAAAATATTTTTACTAGATTTGTAATGCCGAGAGTAATTATTACAGATGGGGGAAGTTGTTTTAAGAATAAAATGATTCAAACATTAACTCAAAAGTTTAAAATTAAGCACAAAATTGTTACAGCTTATCATCCTCAGACTAGTGGTCTAGCAGAAATATCTAATCATGATATTAAGAGAATATTGGAAAAAACTATTAATCCTAATCAGAAAGATTGGGTTGCTAGGTTATATAGTGCATTATGGGCATATAGGACTGCTTATAAAACTCCGACAGGAAAGTCACCATATAGACTCATATATGGAAAAACATGTCATTTACCAGTTGAAATAGAGCATAATGTTTATTAAGCCAGAAAAGAGTTTAATTATAATTTAAAAGATGCTGAAGAGAGACAATTATTGCAATTAAATAAGCTTGATGAAATAAGAAATGACTCTTATGAGAATGCTAAATCTATAAGGAGAAAATGAAAATGTGGCATGATTAGAGGATCTTGAAAAAGCATTTTGAGCTTAGACAAAAAGTTTTATTATATAATACAAGATTGAAATTAATTCTAGGAAAACTTAAGCTTTGGTGGTCAGGGCTATTTATTGTGATAAGATTTTATCCATTTATTGATATTGAAGATCCTAAAACTGGGAAAATGATTAAGAAAAATGAACATGGGTTAAAAGCTTATATAAGTGGAGATAGTTCTACATTTGAGGAGATCCTGATGCTGGGTCAACAAAATTAAGAGAATGGATATGTCAGACTGATGACGTTAAACCAAACGCTTTGTGGGAGGCAACTCACAGATCAATGTGGATTGATTTGATTAGTGATTGTTGTTATGATGAATTTATAAAGTTATATTGAGTCTTAAAAGATTAAGGTGGCACAATAATAATTTTTTTATTAAATTAATGTGGGATGAAAAAAAATTTGACTTCTAAAAATTATGGATTGGTGCTATAGCGCCAGATTTGGCACCATAGCGCCATAATCAGAATAACTCCCTAATTGATAGTTTTCTGCCACTTTCTTCTCTATTAAACTGCCATGAACGAAAATTGAGTCATTTTCTTCACATTTCTAAGCAGACTAGAGAAGAGAAAAGTCTAGAAGATTCATTCCAACTGAGTCCTTGTTTCAAGATCCATGGAGAGTAATAGTAATATTAAGTTTGAAAATAAGAAGATGATGCATAAGGATGCCTAAACATATTTCAACGGATTCCTAACACTGAGTTTGGAGAGGATTGTAGACAAATTGGGGAAGATTGATGAAGAGTTATCCCTTTTGCACAACAAGTTGAGCATTGTGCCGCTAGTACGAACACTTGGAGTGGTAGTTGAGACTTCAATTCAACCATATGACGTATTTCCAAGATTACCAAGTAAGTTTGTATTGCAACAACAAATGGATCGATGATAGTGTTGCTCAAGATTTTCCTTGCGCTCCATTCTACCACCTCTACTATCGTAACTATCAAGTGGGTGAAAAGGTGGGGAACAACATCGAGCACGACTATTCTTAAACATACGATTATGTGGAAAAACTTGTTGTTGTTGAGTGTTAAGTAATTGTGTGCCGACTTTAAATTTAAAGTGACTCTAGTATAGTAAATTTAAGTTTTATGTTTGTATTTCCTTATCATTGTTGAAGTGATGTTATAACTTATGCTTATTATAAGAAAATGTGTTAAGTTTGTGTTGTTAGTACTTTGTGTTACCTGAGTGATTTGATTTGAACTCTCAAACCATTGCAAAGAAAGATTGGAGAAATTTGAAAGAAAAAAGGAAAGATAGTGAAATCAAATATTGTGAAATCGACAAGTTTTGGGTCTATTAATCTTAGGTTGTTGTGCTCTTTTAAAAATGACAAAAATTTCAAAAATATGTACTGTTAAGCACTGGTGCTTTAGTGCCACAACTACGCACTATAGCGTCATTCATCTATAAAGCAGGTTGCTACCGCGCATGAATCGACGCTATAGCACCGAACTAACCGGATCGTGGTTTTTAGCGCCATGACCACCGATTTTCACCATTTTTTCTCATACTTTGTCTTCTTCCTCTTATATTTCACAACTTGATCCCCTAGGGCTTGAATTTGTGGGTGATTGGCTTGGAGTTAGAGCTTCAAACTTTAGATTTCTTCTTCTTTGGTAAGATACACATTTTGGCATAGAAAATTTTTCATTTCACTATCGATTTCTTCCACATTGTGGTTAGAACAAAAATTTGAAAAAATTGAAGTGAATAGTGAGAAATCCATGTTTGTGTTGATATCATTTTTTATGAGGTCATTTCCTCTTCTTAGAGCCTAGGGTCAAACCTTAGGACTTCCTGTTGGACTCTCTTAGAGGACTAATACTATGACCCGCACCAGCTAGAAGTTTGACCCACTTCTTGACTCCTTGCAATTTTATATGGGTGGTTTCAAATCCTCTATGCTTGGTTGAGTCGATTAAAACCAACATATTAAAACTCAAGTCGAGTACCCATAGGATCTAAAGCCTCAGGAAACCCATTGCGCCTTTCAGGCACATTTACGATACACACACACTCGCGAGAGACGAATAACACAATTCACACGTTCGATGCATAAATATATCAAAATTCACATCATCGACATATATAAAAGGGGCTTCGTAATTGATCAAACTTAAATCAGTCGTCGAAACTATCGATCATGAACTAAAATTTTAAGAAAAATTGAATTTGACGTATTTTCAACCGGATCATCGACGAAATTGTCCCGACAATCCCAGATGACGAAACAGACCACGCCGGTGCGTTCGAAATGTTGATTTTAGCTAGATAGAACACTCATTTTGATATAGCTTCATGTGCGAGCGAAAAATGCATAATGCTGGAGATTTTAGGTATTAAATATTCTTTTATCTATATATATATATTAAAAAAAGCTTTCCTAAATCCCTAATCTCTTGTTCACACACCACCCGTGCCTCTCTGCTCATCTCCCAATCGCAAGCCAAGCCCTTGCCCCAGCTCTTCTCCCTCTGTTCGGTCGAAGCTGTCTCCTCCTCTTCGTGATGGCTAGACCCGAGTGGAGCCCTACTCCTCGTAGCTTCCCCTTCACGACTCGCCCAACACCCTGCCCTCTGCCCAAAATGCCTCTTCCTGAAGATCTGTTTGGCGCACCGGTCTGCTTGCTGTGGGGCATCGCCCCGCAATAATTTCTCATTTGGAGCGGTTTCTCCATCGCCGCAGGCGGCGATTCAGCAGTAACGCGGAACGCGCTCAGGTAACGATGACCCAGCTTCCTCTCAACGGCGGAAAATGTTGTTCACCCCCGTGCCCTCACGCTATCGTAAAGGCGAACTCCTCTTCTGGAATCTCCTGAACCCCGAATCTCCTCCTCTTCCTGAGCAAATCTCCTTCTCTTCCCCATTCGGCGTCCTCCTTCTCTTCCCCAACCCACGTCCTCCTCCTCTTCCCGAGCGAAGATCTCCTCTCATCTTCTCCTCTTCCCCAACCCTGTTTTATGATCACTCTTGCTCCCAGCCAAATGGTGCTCGGGGAGCATCCCCTGTTCCTCCCATCATGAATGTGATGCTGAAACCTGAAGGCTTCCCACAATTAGGTCCTCATGAAGGGGCTGGAGTTATTGCAGTGAAATATGCATAGCCTCTGTCCTTATTTATCAAGAGATAGCTTAAGTTTGTGAAGCGTGATGCATATTCCTGATCCTTGCAGTAATTTCAGCCTCAAGCAACTGCTCTTCCAGCACCACTTACTGTTTGGATGGTTAATGCATCAAATGCTACTCCAATGCCACATCCAGCAATGTCGGCCAGTCCCTTTGTCCTAGCTGCACCACCCAATTCAGGTACTTAAATGTTTCCATCATTCATTTTTCAAAAGCTAGACCTTCTATTATTATGAATTGAACTTTATTTGACATATATTTAGTCATGTTTGTCCTTGACAGACCTCCCAATTCACAAACATAAAGATTTTAAACCTATTCTGAAAGGTTTTCTATTTGTTCTCTAAATTGAAAAAAAAAGAAAAAAAATCATATTTTGCTATGATTACTTTACCTGTCTTAAATATGATTGTGGATAGATGTACTGTTAAGATTAAGTATTCCAGATCTTATATATACATGCACTTCATTTTGCATAAATGCATATAGAAATTATATAGCTTACTTATCTTCATTATTTTACTTAAAATTTATTAGTTTTTCTCCTTTTTTAGCACTTTTGGTACTCACTGTTAAGTGATTAGTGTATTTGAACTTTTGTTATGTTTTGAAATGAATTTCTGCTATTGAAATATCAAATAGATGGGTGTCATAGTCGTGTTACAAACAAATTTAATGAATAGGGGCAGAATGGTCATTTTTTTTAAACAACAGTCCGACAGTTGTTTTCACACAGCTATAACAAACAGACAGTCAGCTTTCTGAGGCAGCGCAGTTGCAGCTGAAAAGCTGAGAAGCTGCAGCTGCGCTAAACAGAGCCCAAGTCTTCTCCTTCACTCCTGGCTATATAAACCTCCTTTGAGGGTGGAGATGAGGTTGTTGAAATATTGGGGAGGAGATGAGAGGAGAAAGGGGCTGTTGAAGCTTTGTGTTCGCTGGAGCCTTGCTGCTGAAACTTTTGGCCTATTTTGGATTAATTTCTGGAGGTTTGAGTTACTCACTTTAAAGCTTAAGTTTCTTTAATGATTGTTTTGATTGAGATATAGAATTCAGATGCAAGCGTGGTGGGTTATTGTATTGAATCAGTTCTGATAAGAGTGATCTAACATCACACGTAAGGTTCAAGATATGAGTCTTTTCACTCCTTGTTTTGGTTGCTTGGTGAAATGCTTTTCTCTTTAACACCTGCTTTAATCTTTATGAATTATGGATGGATTGTTATGATTAATTAGTGGATGAGTTTATGAGGTTTCTTTGGGGATTTGCTCCTTTCATACCAGAAAGTTGGATTCCGTTCATTTTGCCTATGTTATTAGTAGTTCTCAAGCTTTAACACAATCCCATCAACCGGTCAAGCTCAATGGCAATCATGCATGATTTAGTGGAAGCGTTCGCTATATCTCAGTAATTTATGTTTGTCTGGTTTTGAGGTGTTATTGCCTTCTGTTCTCATGAGGATAGAACATTTAGCGTTGAGAGTATCTACTTCATTTCATGTGTTTTAAAACTTATTCTTTTATTTTCTAGCTGAAGCAATTAATGCTTGTCTGCATTGCATTTTCAGATTTAACTTGAAGCGCTTCTTGCAGGGTTATTAGTTTGTTGTTATTGATAGTTTCAACTCTAGGAGAACTGTATATATATATATATATATATTCATGGCGTATTTGTGGTTGGCTTCCAAAAAAAAAAAAAGAGAAAAAAATTGAAAAAAGGAAAAAAAAAACCAAAGCTCATTCGTTTCAGCTTTAACTGCATTAAGGGCTGAGCAAATGACTTCATAATCATTGCCAATGAAAATTTTATGAATGAAGCTTCTTGCAAGGGATCGTGGTTTGTATCGCTCAAGCACTTCCCCACATGTGGTAGTCCCTACCTTGATCTCGATGCGGAGCAATCAAATCTCTCATACCACATATAAGGCACTAGATTTGTTCTCATTTACATGTTTAACACCCAAACTCCAATTCTCACATATGTGCTACCTTACCTGTGCATACAATTGGGTTATTTCTTTTGGACTATAAAAAATTTGGGTGGTATATATGTAAGTGCTACATGTGTACATACTTAAGAATTGCAAGGTTTGTATATAAATTTCCCTTAGTTTTATTTCATTGGAGTTTGAATTCCAGATTTTTTTAATATGCATGGGAATGGATGGTTTCACATGCAAATCCCTATTTGATCCTTCTTAATGTTTGCTATATGCAAACACATCTGTTCAATTATGCCTCAATTCTTTATCCGTGTAAGAAAATTCAACAGGAAAACTCATGCTCCCAAATGTTGGGTGGATTCTTCATTCACTTCTACCTGAAGGATTTGTCTCATGGCTTCATTAATCTTTTAAGAGATCGAATCCTAATACCTATGGTGACCAATTACTTTGAGTAGAGACTCTTATCTAGCACTAATAAAATTAAGTGGCATTTACATATATATCACCCAATTTCTATATACTTATATATCTAACAAAAGCTTTGCTTTTCTTTTACAATTATACCACCCAAATCTTTCATTTTTTATTGAAAGTACCACTATTTTAACTTTTAAAGAGTGAAATACACATGAGCATACATTTGCTTTACATGAATTAATTGTTGTGGACATTTACGTTTGGATGGTCTCCATTCATGGTATGGAACTATAAGGTATATGTGCAGATTTCTGTTTTCAAAGAGCCTGAATCATTTATAGAATCTGAAATTGGTGTAATTTAAAGTACTTTGCATTCATCCTCATTCCATGCAATATTCTTTGCTCACATTTTTGCAACTTTGTGGTCTTGCGGCTCATTTGAGCTGCGGTTTTGGGGGTTTGCTAGATGGTTTTGTTGTATGTATTGCTTCAGTTTTGGGGGCCTTTTGCAGTTCATTTGAGCTGTGATTTTAGAGGTGTTTGGGACTGTTTTGGGCCTTCTTCGATATGCAGTTTTGAGGCTTTGATGGTGGCATTTTTTATGTAATATGAAATATTTGGATGGTAAGAATGCAACATTTAAGTTTAGAGATTGAGGGGCTAATTGGGGCAGTTGTAGCTTATTGAATAATTTGCTAATAAGCTGATTAAAAATAATCTACTGATAAGCTAGGTGCGATAACTATTACAAATTTTTATTTTTTTAGAAAAGTTCGACCGCAGCCAAAAAACTACCACCGCAACTAGATAGATGCGGTGTGAAAATGATATTTTCAGCGTTTTGAAAACGCATAAGCTACCAAAACACACTTTACCTAAACAGACAATGTGTGTTTTCAAAACGCCACCACACCAAATAAGCTACCCCAAACAAGCCCTGAATGTGTGAATACCTAAGAATTATAGGCTAGGTATGTAGTCGCTGCGTTGGTGCGGTTCTCTTGTTATTTGCTTAAAATGCAGTTTGGAAATAATACCTTTCGGGTTGATTTGTGGATCGTTGGGCCGCATTTTTTGGATTTTTTCGTCGATTATTTTTTATAATTGCAGTTTTGAGGGCCGGTCCACCTTTCACCTTTTTCGCCATTTCAGGTGAATTGGTTCCTCTTGTCTCTCACCATATTTTTCTTTTTTTCTTTCTTTGCTTCTTGGTTTGATTTAGGTGCTAATTTATGAAATATAAGTGCACATATATAGTCCTGTCTATATATGAACCATCAAGCAAGACTATAAGTTAGATGATTCTTTTGGGGTTTAAGGGCTGTGATGACAAAGACATTCGGTGGTAGAGCAGAATGATATTGCATTCTATGACATCGGGATCCGATCCAGAGACCTGGTGCAAATGTAAGATTACAATATTATTCACTTACAGTAGACTAGTGAGGTTCCTTTTCCTTGTTAGGCTACTGACGGTCCTAGTCCGACAGTGTAATCAACTCGTGGACAGCTAAATTTATAAAATATAACGATAAGAATATATACATTATTTACAAAATATTTTGATTACTAAAATAGATATTCATTTTGCTTATATGCATGACAAAATATAAACTTTAAGTAATACAATCTGACTGTCCACTTGTCAATTATCTGTATTAGGCTAAGAACTGCTCTCTTAAGTCGGTATTGTTGAAATCTCTAGTTGAATATCGGGTTTTATACACTTCGATGACCGATGGTTGCCTTTGGTCTCTTGAGAATGCTAAAATCTAAGCCCATCCAAACCTGAATTCTTATAGTTCACTTCGTCATTTTATCGTTCACTTGTTATTTTCTTCAGGTTTTCTCTACGTTTCCTATGGTTTTCTTCGGCTTTTGTGAGTCATTTGTGGTTTTCTTCGAGTTTTCTCGTGAGATGCTTGTTGTTAGACTTTTACACACATACATGTATGTTTGTCCTGCTAATTAAATTTCTCTACTTTACTTATTTACTTCAACCTGCAACGCTAATCTCATTTGCAGGAGCAACAGACCCGTTAGCACATAGATTTATTTTATATTTACATCATTTTATTTTCTTTACTATACATTATACTGCTCTTCCTTATCTTACATTTACTGCATTTTCTTTAGTTTTGTTTTCTTTTACTACTACTACTACCGTTTCCTTTATGTGTATTATACCATTTAGAACAAGAGGACAGTAGTCTGGTTTTATAGGAGATACCCTGCAACAGACCACCGACCCAACAATTGCATAGAACATTGAACCTGAAACTGCTACGACGTGGAGCTTGAAGCTAACACCGTGGGTAGCATGACGAGGATGTACATAAGAACAATTTCGAGATAGCAAACAAATCTACAACAACAAACCTTTCTTTAGTTTAAACAACAAATCATAGGATTTCGAGGTGGTCTTATTAGCGCGACATAAATCCTCACTTTATCTTTGAGGGCTTTGCACATCCCGGTTGAGCAATTTAAACCCTAACTTGCTTTAGGTGTCGAGGTTGTCTTTCCGATAAGACGTAAACCCTCTTATCTCCAGGTCATTTGTATGACTGTGTCATGCAAATCTAAGTCATAATTAATAGCAATTGATATGATGAAACATTCAATAATTTTCTTCTTTAAATTGAAGACAAATCGTAGGATAGCTTGACAAGTCGTTGAAGTTCTCCTCAGGTTCTGTGACATCCCCTAGTTTTCTCCTTTCAAATTTCAGAAAAATGTTACAAATTTGAGCCTTTCATATTGACACTCCTTGATTTCACCTTTGAAAAGTCCTACCCTTTGAAATTCTTGAAAACAAT